GCTATCATAGTAGCATAGTATTGCAACATGGTATTTGGGTCTTCTATCTAAAATAGGAAAATAGGAATATAAATGGTGCCATCATTGCCAAACCATGGCAGGGTTGAAATACACCCTGCCATGACACCGGTCAGTCAGAAGTGCTAGCTTGATGCTGGATCCAGGCCAGACCTGTCTGCTATGTGGGCTTTTTCTGTCGTAAAGTTTCCACAATAGTCAGACCCTTCTCCAGGAGATGCTCTGCAAGAGGCACACTGGTGAAGAAGTTGTCAGTGGCGTTTTTGTGACCTGTGTGTCTTAATCGATTACACAACTGACAGACAATGTTTTCCCCCAGATTCTTCTGGATGTTTTCCCCTGGCTTTCTTCCAAGGTACACGATCAATTGCATATGGGGTGCATGCATTACAATCCCAGAAGATTTTTATGCAATACTTGGTGGGCTTACTCGGCATATACTGCAGAAGCTGGGTCCTACTTCTGAAAGGCACAAGTTGTTCATCCACTGTAACATAATCACAGGGGATGAATTTCTACCTGCAGCTGATCAGGAACAGATCCCATGTGGTCATTTTTCAGTTGGTAGGCTCTGTTCCTCTTGTCATCAAAGCGCAAGAAACTGCAAATATCTTCATGCATAACCCATTTTACAATGGGTTATGCAGGGGACTCCCAAAAAACAGAGACTGGTACAATGAAAAACAAGTTAATGAATGGAGATAATTCTTACATTTGTGTTGCTGTTGTGAGATTATTATATCATCTTATGCCACGTTATACCTCTAATTAAAGATTGTGAAATTATTATGTAGTTTTATTTTGTATTATTCTCCTGACTTAGATGAAGGTGATAACTATTACATTTATTAAACTGATTTATTACATTAGACTGCTGATTTATTTTGAATGAATGATATTGTTTATGATGCATGATACTGCTGCGTTATAGGAAATACCGTTTTCAGAGATACATGGCCTTGTTTGTCTGATTAGAAAAGAACAGAACAGACTGCACAGGAAGACAAGGTCATAACTTAGGCTCACTTCCAGAGAGCAAGAATGTGAATGCTTAGGTTTTATGACTAGGTGGGGGCCTCCTGAAGCTATAAGAATGTGAGAAATGGTCAGACATGTTGAGATCTGCTGTTACCCTCTTCAGCACATTTCCCATCCGGATGGTTAATGCTCAAAAGTGTTTGTATGGAATAATGAGAATTATATGGAATAAAGAGATTGTTGATTGAGCATTTATACACCGAGTGTTGTTCTTCCTTCAGCCCAAAGATGAAAAAATTGGGAGGATTTAAAACTGTGTAAAAATGACCTCCTGGGTGGTGAGACTGTTGACATCAGATGTGTGGGACGGTCAGAGTTGCTAAGAATGAAAGGTTCATAGATGATTTCATATTAACTGCTTGGGGTCATTTTTGACCTCACTTGTGGAAGAGTTGGGTAGTGATACAAAAACTGTAATTTTTTAAAAATAATGAAAAAATAAATAAAAATGCAAATGGCCTCATGTCTCAAAGATGTTTTATGAGGAGTACCTGGAATATGAATATATAACAAATTTTCATTTTAAAGATTTTGAAGAAAAACAACATGTGGGGTAAAAAACGACTGATTGCGTTCATCCTCGTGAATGAATTTACGAATCATGGACTTTAAAGTTTTTTTCAACCGCTCTACCATCTTATCAGTCTGAGGGTGATAGACACTGGTCTGAATAATTTTAATGCCTCTTAAGGGTTCAAATATTGAGGAGGGATACAGGAGGATTCCAAAATCACAACACTGGTCCAGGAGGGTTAGGTCAAACGATGATTTTAATGAACACACGTGTGGGGAGATGAACACTGTCACACACTCAGCGTCGATCTCCGCCCAATAATATACAAGCAGTTGTTTTTATAGCATCAGGGTATTATTTATGACGCCCCCTCATGCGTCAAAGCAGATACATCACACCTACATCACAAATGTTCTGTTGACGACCTGTGACACAGTCAGAAAAGAACATTTTCTTCGCCTCCAAGCCAGGTGCTTCCGGTAGCTCATCTCGCTCTTGCTTCTCCAAAACCTCAGATGCATGCTCTGCAACAAAACTATCAATTCTGCAGGCACTCTGTTTCACCTCTCACCTCGCCTACTAAAACTCACAACCAGACAGAGGCCACTCTCATATGTGTACTAACCCAACTGAAAGTATATAGGGGTGGGTTTTTATAATCGATTTATCGATTAAAATCGATTCTGGCTTGGATAACATAAAATCGATTCATTAAAATCCAGAATCGATTTTTTAATATAAATTTATTTTGCCCGAAATGCCAGAATGTCTGGTGAAATCTCACAAAATTTCAGCAACCACCAAACAGCTAAGACAGTAAATGAGAGCAGGAACACGGATTCTGCACAAAGACGTAAACACAAAGCACCACCCGCGGATCAGAATCAGTTAGATGTCGCCTTTCTCACGGTCGGGGCTGAAAGCCGACAGCTCGCTGATTCTGATCTGTCTTTCTGATGATCTGTCGCTTTGTGTTTACGCCCTTTATGCGCCGATTCTAAAGCTGTTAGTTTGATCTCTCTCCAAACAATATTGACCAAACCAGCAGCAAAAGAAGATCCAAACTACGCTTCACATAAATATCGTCATGAATTCACTCTGACTTTTACTGTTTTGCTTCGACCACGATGCACAGCTCTCTCTCTCTCCCTCTCTCCCTCTCTCTCTCTCCCTCTCTCTCTCTCTGTACTTCAAGAACAGTTTCCCGTCTTAAAATCTGTTTTCTTCATTATTCGCTTGCTTGTTACGCACAAGTCTACCATTGTTTACAGCGCTGTCGGCTGACGTTTTTTTTTTTTTTTCGTTTTATATTCTTCCGAAAAGAAAACCTAATTTCTGCCGTTCAATACTGAACAAATTTAAACTTTTTAAAATTATGCAAAATGCAAAACGTTTAGCTAATGATAAAACCGCTGTAATTTCAGAGGTAATGTTCATGTGTTGATTAATGGTTTTATTTCGTTTTTGATGTACTGCAGAATGTTTTTATAAAATCCCAGCCCAGGAAAATCGCCTTCATGTTTTTCTGTGTTTTATCCTCAGCTACTTTGACACAAAGGCATCTGCTGTGATGCTCACACCTTTGATAAAGTCTTGCGTGTGTCAGCTTCCTTTTTATAGATACAAAAATATGTAAATGTACTGATCTGAATTATAATATTTCTGACTGTCAAAATTTTCCAGATTCAAATTGAATTGAATTGAATTGAATCGAATCGATTTAAATCGAATCGTGGATCGAATCGATTCGGGACCTTGTGAATTGGAATTGAATCGATTCTAGAAATAAGTGACGATACCCAGCCCTAAAAGTATATATGCAACACATTGAATAAATGCTTCAATTAAATGCCACTACTCAAAGCTTAATAAAAAAGAATATAAACGAATAAAAGATAATAATGAATAACCTGGTTATTCAAAACCTCATCCAGAAAGCTCCTCAAAATAACCACCAAAAAATGCACACTTTACAGAGGAAACAAAGACATTTTAGAAGTACACTCCCTGACTTATTCTGAGTCATCTGTTACCAAGCAAACTCAAACACAGCAGGTTGCTAAATACACTCAGGCCTTTGCTCAGCTACTATTTTTACTGTATGATTAACCTTCTAAGCTCCACTACACTTACACTCTGCCTCGTTTCACTTTATGGGTGCAAAAGCATGCTCTGCAAAAGCATGCAATTTCCTGTCAAGACTTTTGGCACAGACTGTACTCAGAGTTGGGCCTTTCTTATATAACCCAATATAATCAGCATATAAGCATTTAAGATTATAAATTTAAACTCAACAATTTAAAGTGGTTATAACTGCACCTATAATAAAGGTTAATGTGATTATGATAACACCTGTAATACAAATTATAACATAATGCCAACATCTTCAATAATACTTTAATGAAATGATGATTAATACAATGATAAAGATGATGGTTATGAACAGTAGCAGTAAAATAATTTCTTTAATCCTACATGCCCAATAATTTGTATAGCTCTTTTAGTGTTCAAGATATGAATGACTTGCCCTGGTCATTCAGTATTTCTTTCGGAATACTGACTCGGAGATGACCTGAAACCGTGGCTGTGCCACACTTCTCGCCGAAGTTGTTGTGAATGTCCCCGTGCACACACTTCACCTCCACCCATTCTACCTCCAGCAATGCCCCTGGTCGAACCAAACTTTGATGGAACAGGGTCTGCATGCAGCCCGTGTTCACTAATGGGTCTGTCTAGCACAACCCCTCACTGGAACGAGACAATTTTACCACAACAGCAAAAAAGCAAGACGCAAGTCACCAGAGCTCTTTGTGTTACTCATATACGAAGGAGACCTGGCCAAAGCCAAGTGTCGTTCTGCCCACTTGACCTCCCCCAGACTCTCAGCCAGGTTCCCTGTAGCACTCCTTTTATTGTGGTTACATGAATATACATAGGTTCGTTAACATATGACATCATACACAGGCATACATGTATACAAAGAATACCTTGTCTGTGTGTACTCCCAGGTATATGTGTGTGTGTGTGTGTGTGTGTGTGTGTGTGTGTGTGTGTCAAGATGTGAGCCTGTGAAGACTCCCCAAAGCTGGTGCCAGGAGTCTAGCGGTTCACACAAAGAAAAGGCTCTTACACTCAAACAGATATACGTGTGCTTGCTATACCATATATCAGCAAGAGAAGATACAACCTCTCTCATGATCCTAGGAGGTGGGTGATCTATGCCAGAACACTCTGAAGAGGAGTGAATGCACTCCCCTCTTCATGCTACACAGAGTTGTTACAGACCTCCTAGGATGAGACATTCTTTCAATCTACAAATGATTATATACTTCTAAGCATATATAAATTTATACTTCTAAGCATAAATGAAAGTCCAACAATATAAATCTGACATCCACCAATCGTGACGCACACCCTCTTGACACCTTACCAGAATGCAGTACGTTCCTTCCTTATCTGGGGGCGGATGCTGGTGTCCCGGCGATGCAGAACACCCGTCCCACCTCAATGATAGGACAGTCCCGCCGTAGGTGCCCTGGCCACCAACACTTCCAGCACTCCCGCCCCGGCATCTGTGTGGATCCCTGTGGCTCAGTGGCAGTGCCAGGTGCTTCTGGGCTCCTGGCATGAAGCAGTGGGGTGAAGGGGTTTGTGGGACTCCATGCGGGCACTCCTCCGTTGAACTAGTGTTCAGGTAGCTGCTCTGCTCTATGTAATTTCCTGAGGACAGATGGCCCAGGGTGTGAGTGGGCATTAAGGTGTCTCGGAAGGGAAATCACATGATAGAGTGGGGCCAGTTTTCACAATGAGCTCACCCGAAACCCTGGCTGATTGTGACCCACACCCGCTTTCACACCTTGGCTCATGTGATTAGGTAGAGGATCACTAAGGGGTCCTTTGTCCCTGTTTCGGGGATACTCCCACTGGGTTTAAAACTGGAACTTTCCACCATTTGACCTTCGAAGTGGAGAAGCTTCTCGGATGAGAGGTGAAACGTCTTCAAGCAACATAAAGAAGTCCAGACGGTTTTCATTTCAATCTCCTTAGACAATGCAGATAGAAAGCACTCAGTTTAGAGAAAGTGTGTGTTTGTGTTTGGCATGTTGTATAGAGCACTTTGAGTAATCCGGCAAAGTAGAAAAGAACTATATAACAATCAGTCCATTCACTGTCTGAACAGAGTTTTGTCATGTTAATTTTGCACTTCAATTTTGCAATTTTTTTTGTTGTTATTACATGGTTTGATGAAGATACACATTAGGCTGACATCTGGGGCCAGAGCTGAAACTGTTTTGGGCCAGCACAGGGCCAGCAGGGTGTCTGCAACTGGCCTTGTGCTGACCCATGTGTGGATTACCTCTGGCAAACCAGATCTGGGCAAACAAAGTTCCGTCATTCTTTGCGGTATGTGGGCCATGTGTAAGCACATTGTGGGCCAGATCCGGGCAATACCAGTTTTGCTATGTGGGTAGACTGTATGTAGAGAGAGCAGTGGTAGCCAAAACACGCCAGCATCCACTCCTGTACACTGGGGAAGATACCCGAGGGCAAACATCTGGTGGCTGGGCCTTAGTCTATGGGGCCCGTCTGGGCACATCTTGAAAGAGGGACATGGGCCCATCCTCTTGCAGTCTTACCACCCGCAGGAGGCGGTGTAGAGGTTGGATGCTTTGTGAGCCGAGCGGTGAGAGTCGTTGGGCTGCGGTGGGTCTCCTAGTATCCTTGGCTTGCCAAGGGGGTTCTAGTGTCCAGAACATATGGCCACAGGTCTGGTGAAATGATTGCAAATTCGATCATCGACCTGCAGCCTAGAGCGTCTTGGTGCCACATGCACTCATGGGCACTCTTATGTTCAAACATGGTGTTCATTATGGACAAACTGTGGTTTGCGCAGAAGTCCAGCAACAAAACACCGCTCTGGTTCACATGCAATAGGCTGTTCCTCCAAATCACGCCCCTCCAGGTCTCGCTGTCATTGCCCACATGAGCACAGATGTCTCCCAGTAGGACAACAGAGTACCTAGGAGGAGCACCACCCCGCACCCCACCCAAGGAGTCCAAAAAGGATGTGTACTGTGAACCGTCACTCGGCACATAAGTGCAGACGACAGTGTGGAGATTACAATATTATTTTACTGTTACTATTCATAACCATTATCATTACTGTTGCATTACTTATCATTTATCATTATCATTTCATCAGAGCATTTATTGAAGCTGTTGATGTTACATTAAAGTCTGTATTTCAGGTGTGAGCATAATTACATAATAATCTTTCATTGCAGGTGCAACTGTAATCATGTTATACACATTGCATTTTTGTGCTTATTAAAGAGTTGAAGCTCAGTCAGTTGATGGTCTGAAGTTTCGGGCGGCGCGACGTCCGCCCGATCAGTTGAGAAATTCATCGAGCTATGAAAGAATTGCATACATGGTTACAATACAATACACCACATATAACCTGTAAACAGAATACAGGCCTGTGTGCACTCAGCAGCCCCCTTCTGCATTGGAGTTTGCCAGGTAACAAATGACTCAGAATAAGGCAGGAAGTGAGGTCATACACTGAGATTAAGACACACATAGGCTGCCCGTACACACATACACAGTATCTAGACTTGTTTTGCTCGAAACTGCAAAGTTGTTTTACCTGCATGAGTGACGGTTTCCACAGATAAGTGGAGTGCAGTAAATGAAATAACAGGAAGCATCTGGTTGTGGCAGAGGAACAGAGGAAGGAACTGTTCTTTTTTGAATGTGTCCAAGCTTGGGATTACTGGAACTGATGCATTTTATCTATCTGCTTGGACGCACAAGGGGTGTTATATTTCCTGATACCCTGATGTTATAAATACAACTGCTCGTTTATTGTTCTGGGGAGATTGAGGCTGGTGTTTTGCAGAGCTCATCTCCACCACACGCGTGTGTAAATAAAATCATTGTTCTGATGCACAATGGACCTCCAGTCGTTTTTCTCTTACCTCAAATACGAACTCAGGACAACAGTCAGGACCTGTTCCCTGACCCGAAGGCACAGAGAACACCTGAGCGTACAGGCAGGAAGCCAAGGGAATATTAGGATAACCATCCCAGCATTCCGCCTCTCACACTGCCCGGCTCACAACCTCTACAGTGCCTCCTGCTGGTGGTGGGCCTGCAAGAGGATGGGCTCATGTCCCTTTTTGGAACTGTGCCCGGACGGGCCGAATGGGCTAAGGCCCGAGCACCAGATGTTCACCCTCGGGCAACATCCCCGGGCCTGGTTCCAGAGCAGGGCCCAAGTAACCCTATCCCAGGCAGGGTGAGCTGTTCCCTTGGTGTTCCTTTCATAGGGGTCTTATGAATCGCTCTTTGTCTGGTCCCTCACCCAGGACCAATTTGTCATGGGAGACCCTACCAGGTGGCAGAAGACACTGGACAATATAACCCCTGCGTTCCCCGGGACACACAAACCCCAATTAGGCAGCGATTCACGGAGGAGAATCAAAGACCCACAGACACACATACACAGACGCACAGATCTTTGTCTTTGTGTGTCTGTCCGGGTGTCTGTCTGGGTGTGTGTGTGTTACGGCTCTAGCAGGGAATCCTCCTGAAATTGCCCTTGCGTTGGTGTGTCCTACCATCTCTCCTGTATAAGGTGCCATTTTTTTTGAACAGCTGACTCCCCTCAGCAATTTAAAATACTTAAGGCCAGAGAAAGGTAAGCTCTAGTTCCAGAGAGGCTTGTTGCTTTTCAGCTAGTGAGCTGTGTTTGTATGCTGGTTGTGTCACAATTCTGGGTCTTTTGACCCAGCATTCTAAGTTTTAGTTAAGTGTGCCTATGCCAAGAGGCACAGTTATTACTATTCCTCGGATTTATTAAGTGTGCCTATGCCAAGAGACACACTTATTACTATTCGTCAGATTTATGCTGCTTATTATTCTCCTTTTTCCGCCTGAAATTTCGCAGCGTAACTCACCCCACATTTTTGAGACAAGGTTCACATATGTTATATCATTTTGTGCGGCTGGATCTGGAATGGTGTGCTATGACTTTTGGTGTTTATGACTTTTATACTATTATAAATATTAATATTTTAGTGCAAATTTTCCCGTGCTTATCTGCCGCACAGTTTTGACACAAGGGTTACATATGTTATATCATTTTATGCGGCTGGATCTGGACTAGTACACTATGACTTTTGGTGTTTATGACTTGTAAAGTTTTTTAAATATTTAGATTTTAGTGCAAATTTTGGCCCATTTCTAGGCCCATGAGAAATATTCTTCTTTTTGCCCCAAAGAAACAGACTTCATTTGTGGTGTGTTGGCTCTCTCTAGTGCATAGGTGTCAAACTCTGGCCCGCGGGCCAAATTTGGCCCGCAGCCTAATTACATTTGGCCGGCGAAGCCATACCAAATTACTATTAGAGCTGGCCTACTGGTATT